TTCTTTTGTTTTTTTTTAATTCCACACATACGGAGTCGCGGGCGAAAGCTAGTAAAAAATAATAATAGCAAGTGGCTTATGTATTCTTCCAAGTTATCCAGTATATAGCAAATTTTATCGAAATCCGTTCAGTTAATTTTCCATTTATAATATTAGTAAGATTTCTAAAAGATAAAACGTGAAGAATGTGATTTTTTACCTTAGATACGAATATCGGGAAGTATCCGTCCTTGACGCCGAGTTTCTTGAGCTCCTTGCTCAAGTAGTTCCTGATGTGCTCCCAGATGCTGTAGGACCAGGGCCGCAGGATGTAGCAGCCCGAGATGTCGTAGTAGTCTATCATCTCCGCTGTAATATATATTTATTACTAGCTATTTCTCGCGAATTCGTCTGCGCGAAATTAAAAGAAGTATAAAAAATATAGCCTATGTTACAGATACTATGTCTTAATAATGGTAAATTTTCTAAAATCGGCCCAGTTTTTACGAAAATCAGATACATACAAAAATACAAATCTTTCTTCATAAAAATTGTATAGATAAGTCTCCGGCAACCATGATACAAGCCTGTAACACTTACAGTGCTACTATTTATACGAGTGCTTTTGTGGGACGAAGTTCAAACTATATGTCTAAGATAATGTGAATTTTCCATAGCTTCCTACAATTTCCCTTTAACTAATAGATCTTTAAAAAATACGATTGATAATGGGTGAGCAAAATGGAAAAAAAGAAATGTCACTTTATTTAAATCAGAAGGACAAAATATATCTATAATTACATTTCAAAAGGAGGAGGTACTCAATTCGTCTGTATATATATATTTTTTTTATATTTTATTATATTTTGAAAATTCCTTTTCATACCCGAAAGGTAGTGTTTGCAGGTGGGTCACGTTTATTTAATTTTTGGAGTCATCAGTATTAAATTATTACTCACACTTCGTAATGACCTGTGAGTACCATTCAGAGAGATCCGTCTCCTTGCTTGCTTCTAGTCCCAATCGAGTTATCTTCTTAACTCCGCTAGATGATTCTTCCTTTGCTGGTTTTGGAGACTGAAATAGAATTATTTAATTGTCATTTCATAGCTCGCAGAATAATAGTAGAATTATTTTATAACTAGCTTTTTCCCGCGACTTCGTCCGCGTTGAATTATAAAATACAATAATGAGCAGCCGATGTGTTCTTCCTCTACGTCTATACCAAATTTCATTGAGACCCGTTCAACCGTTTAGGCTACAAACTCCAACATACATCCATTCATACAAACTTTCACATTTATAATATTAGTATAAAGTATGATTATTCAAAACTTTCGTCCGATTGACATATTTGAAGAATAATTTGTTTATCTTTTTTTTCTAAAGTTTTAAAATATTAATACTGACAGTCAAGTTCATGGGTTTGTTTACTTAATTACTTGCTTAACTAAATGACAATTTCCTTTGATTTTTCTTTTTTTTTCTTAGTAACGAAATGACTAAAATATTTTAAAACTAAACGTACTGGTTCTTTAGCTTTAGGTTCCTTCTTTACTTCTTTAGTTTTATCTTTCTTGTCTTCTTTGGGTTTGTCTTTCTTTTCTTCTTTGGGCTTCTTCTCTTTGGGCTTGGCTTCTCTCGGCTGTGTCGGCGCGACGTACGCTGACCCCGTCTCAGTCTGGTACTGCGCTTTTAGTTCTAGAAGCTTCTTTACCTCTGCATCGATTGTGGCCTACCAAAACATTTTATTATTATATTGATTACTTTTGTTACCTTATTAACGATATTTATAAATTATGTTAATGTTCTTTGAACAATTTTTAAGTATAATTACCGTAACATCTTGTGACATAAGTACCGTCATTACAATGACCTTGGTCAGTTTAGTTAGTCTCTTCTTAAAGATAAACCGACATCTAAAAATTAACAATAACTGAGAATGTTCTCTATAAAGAGTTCTATGGTAGGAAGAACATTAGAGAGAATTATTATTTTTATATAGAAAAAAATTTCGCCCGAGAAACTGGCCGCGTGGAATTAAAAAAAGCGAGTAGTCTATGTGTTCTTCCTGACTATTCTCTACCTCTATGGGAAATTTCATCCAGATCCGTTCAGCCGTTTAGGCTACAAACTCTAACAAACATCCATCCATCTAAACTTTCGCATTTATAATATTAGTAAGATTCAAAAATATATGTTTATTACCTTATCAGCCTTATTTGTTTTTAATTCTCTAACACGGTCGCCTTGCTGTGCGATGTCCGCTGACAAACTTGCTGCCTTTTCCATATCTCCGTTTGCCGGCGCCGCTGCTTGCTACAAAATGTACAAATTACATCAATAATTGGAATACCGTAAGTACAGTTGCGGAAATACGCGGTGTGCCACTTTTAGAAATATTGCCTTGCTCCTTGCAATGACAAACTCCGCCACTTATAAACAAACAATTATGAAAGAGAGAGTTGTGCAAACGAATAGATAATAAAAGGCTTGTTTGTTTTGTACTACTGACCAACCTTTTTCACTCAGATATTTAAAAATAGCGTTCTCTTAGTTATTGTTGCATGTCGCCTTTCTATTTTTTCAACGTTTAAATATAGTTTTCTAAGTGGAACATCGACGGATTACCCGATAGTACACTAATACGTAATTTTCATTCATTAATTACAAATATAGCAAAAAATACCTTTTTATTATCAGTTTTCTTGGTATCCTGCGCCGGAGTTACGCTCGGTGTCCAGTCCTTGCCAGTTATTGATTTGTACTGCGCTTTTAGATTCAGCAAATTCTTTACCTATAACAAAAACGTATAAAATCACTAAAAAGAACATTCTCTAAATACATACTTCCCTTTATTTAGGCTTCTATTTTCTATAAATTTTATCAACACAATGTTTCTTTGTATAAATGTAAATTTGAATATTTATCGTTTAAAATATTTAAAACTAGCTGTTGCTCGCGACTTTGTTCACGTGAAATTAAAAAATATAGCCTTTGTTCCTCACATTTACCGTAGCTTTTTAATCCAATAGTCCAATAGTTCTTGAACTATTTCAATATTATAAAAATATACAAATCTTTTCTCTTTAATAAATTATATTATAGCATAGATTTAATCTAACCAATGTTCATTTTAATTATACTAACAATTTTCAGTATAAATATACAAGATATCTTACCTCGACGTCAATAACAGTCTTCTCAGCTTTAGCGGCTTTGATTGTTCGTATTTTGT